AGGGCACCGCCCTGGAGGCTTTTTCTTGACAACCGCTCCCCCTCCCCGGCTTTCTTTCCGGGGTCCCCGGGACAGTGCGCAGGGCGCGCGGTAGGACCGGGCCTCAGACCTGAAGCCAGGGCGCTTCGGCCCACCTCTGCGGCTCCTCGCCGGTGCGTTAACGCCTCCACACCTGGCTGGTGCGGGTCACAGGTCGCACTCACATTTTACTCGCAGAAAGAGTGACATCCCTCGGACTCGAGAAACAGCCCTGCGCGTTCCCCGGACGCGGAGCCCGAGTTTGAGCCGCGCGACCCAAGCAGGCCGCGTGGCCTGGGCGCTGCGGGTGGCGCGCAGTCCTGGGCCCGGCTCTGTCGCCGGCCTGGAGCGCTTGTGTCATGAGTCCCGCAAATGGAATGGTGGCGGGCGGGCCGCACCTGCTCCCTCCCGAAGGGCCCGCTGTCCGCTCTAGCAGCTGGTCTTGAACCAGGCGCTGGCTCTGGGGACAACTAATCTCTTCTCTTTGCTGTCGTGCTCCAGTGACTCACTCTGCCCTGCGCCCTTAGGCGCTGCGTTGCCGGAGTCTGCAAGCGGTTTTCAAACTGGCTGTTTTTTATTTATTGTTTTAAACTCTCCCTTTAATGCCAGGAAAAAGTGAGGCAGGGCAGTGGGTCAGATGCCGAAGACCAGTGGCTGTGACGAGAGCTGTTTTGTTTTGCTCTTCGGGGTGGTTATGTAATTCCCTTGGAGCAAACATCTCCCCCGCCCCCCAGGGGAAGAAGTGGGGGATCCCTCTTCCTGTTCCTGGGCATCGACCCATCAGGGCATAGGGAAATGGAAGCAGAATTGCCTTGAAATCGGCAGCTTGGGTCGCCTGTTCAGTGAGCCTATTTAAGGAGACTGAATCGTTTGGTCACTGTCACCTTATAAATGGACATGAAGGAGAGAATATCGAAGAGGCCAGCAAAACTGCATCCAGAATATTTGCAGAATCCTTTAAAGGACTCTGATGGTAGAAGTGGGATGGCGACCCCTAGCACTGAGCCCCCCGTCCCGCCCGGTGCTGCAGGTCCGGTGTCCACGGTGCCTTTCTGGGCTCTGGTGGCCGTCACGACCGCGCCCCCCGGGAACTGAGGACTTCGGCTACATCACATGAAATTGCAATTGCTGGTGCTTCTGACTCCTTTTCCCACATTCACATCCTATCTGCTTGTTTAAACGTCCTTGTCCAGGAAACGTAGGCACGTGGCTTTTCACCTTTAGGAGTCCCAATGATTTTATCAACTGTCATTTGTTTTAGAATGTTTAAGGCAGAGACCTCAAGAAAATATCGATGCACGTGTAATTTCCAGACAAGAACGACACGTTTACCAGGACGCGTTTGCGAGTTAAAATCTGAGGAGAGACGTGGCCTTGGCCTGTTTGCGTCCTTTACATAATTTAGGTGTCTTGCTCGCCTACCAGGAAGGGCGGTATGGGTATGAAGCTTCTGGCTCTGGTCCCCACTGGCGGCAGTTGGATTCCCTTCAGGCAATGGCTGCTTCCTCCGCCGCTGGAGAACCAGGCACAGCTTGTCCTGCTCTCTGGGGAGTGAACGTGGCCTCTCGGGGACTGGGGCGGTGGCTATCAAATCAGACTCGCAGTCAGAGGTCAGTTCTCCCACATGGTCGTGAACGACGGTGCCATGAACTTGTCGACCGGACTAGCAGGCGTTCTTGTGCCGGACAGCTGGTCGGGGGCGATGAGTTAGGGAGGATTCACGTTATAAAATCAGGCCTACGAGCACCTTCCTGCGAGCACACGGGCCAGTGGTTAGTGGACGTGAATTCACGGATCGAATGTCCGACTAAATTATTAATAGATGGTTATTAGTTATCTTGGCTGAGAACACAAGTGTGTGCATTTTTAGTTGGACTGAAATGATATGTTTTTAGTAGTAATTTCGTTAAAACAAGGACATGACTAATTTAACTGCCTGGGAAAAGTATTCTTTTAGGAAGGACATATGCAGAAAGAAACTAACAAGTCAGACTCCATGTGACTTCAAGGAATTTTAGGGCTAAGCTGACGTGCAATAATTAACAGAATATTTTAGAATACAAGTAAAGGGAAATTACCTTTTGGTAAAGTTTTACAGTAGATTTAAGTCCATGTAAGATTAGCTATTTACTTTCAGTTTATTTATTTGTGAGATTCATACCAGTGGTCAGTCATGGAACATAGGGTTAAATTTCACAGAGGATCTATATAAATAAGAGACAGAATGTTTGGGGTTTGGCAGGATAGTGGTTAGATTTTTTTTTTTTTCCTGTGGCGGAAACATATTTCTGTAGAATGGAATATTCTGCAGTGATATGAAATGTCAGAAGAGCTGGCACTTTTGCTCAATGGCTGCATTCGAGCACTCTGCTTATGTAAAAATCAGGGAAACTTTGCCGATCGAGTTCATCAAAGTTTGAGCTTCATGTGGACATAGCTGGCATTCGTACCTCTGCAGAAATTTGGTTGTATTTAATCAGGTTATTAGAACAAGGGATAATTTTCTTTTAATGGGTCGAAGTGCGTAGTGGAGCTGCCGTAGCCCCGTCAACACCCAGCGTGACCGTGAGTGTCAGAGGCCCGCTCCCCGCAGTGGGAGGTACATGTGGGCCGTCACCAGCTTCCTGTGCAACCCTCGCAGCAGACAGATATTAGTGGGATGTTTCCAAGTGTACACAGTCATAAGACATTTAGGTTTCTAGCCTTTTTTTTTTTTTAAGTTTTTTAGGCTTTTGGCTCGCACGGTGTTTACATTTTTAGAAGGATAGCATGCATAGTTATTTATTACCTTAAGCTTTTCCCATTTGATCTGAGCTATAGTTTTTAAAGATGTTACTTCTGAACTATTTTTTTTCCCTTTCCTTTTTTTTTTTCCTGTTAAAAATTTATCAAGGTAACATCGGTTAATAACATTACCTAACCGCTGTTCTTTATGTTGGCAATTTATCTAAGAATGTTAAAGCCATGTGTACTGTTTGACGTAATGTGGCAAGTAGGAAATTTATAACTTTTCTTAGTAAATGATAGTTGGACATTCGCATGTTGCAATATCAGATAATAGTAGCGCTTTTAAGTCTTTCTCTGTGGTTGCGCTTGTATCAGGACCATGAACTTAAAGTGTGGTTAAACTTATACCATGTTGGGCCTCTCCCGCCTCCCGGAACTCACTTGCAAACCACCCCCTACCCTGCGCCCCGGTCCCTAGTGCCCGGGTGGGGTGCAGCCCCCCACACGCAGGTCCGGGTCCAGGGGCCTCTTTAATTGGGGATCCGGGAAGTGAAGTTGTCCTTTGCGTGCACCCAAGTGCTCCCACGACTATTAAGAAAACAAGATTATGGGCGGATCTGTACCCATAAGAAATAGTTTGGGTTCCCAGGCCTTTTGTGCTTTGCTATTAAATTTCTCATTAAATCTCATTTTGCAATTTATCGGAAGTTTTAAAAGCGAGCAAAATTATTTGATGCCCAAGCAGCGTTTGGATGGAAAACGTGCACAGTGAAGATACAGGAGCCCTCGCTTCCGCTTTAGACGAGACGGAGGGAAAGCGTTTGGCAGGGGTTAGTGTGTTTGTCACGTGTCGCCTTCCTGTCCCCTGCTCGTTCACTGACGGGGCTGCGGATTTTGTGCGTGGGTTAATTTGAGTCACGCCGCGTCCATTACTTCATGCTCTCACAGAACACAGATTTGACGTATGTGACGCTTTTCTGTGTCTTCATCCTTGTCCTTTTCCGCTACTTAAAATATTGAACGTTTTCCTATCGACGTACGTCCAGCTATGCTGATAAGATGCCTCCTTCCTCTTTTCTGAGTTTCATCTATTGAAGGGAATTTTAAGTGTTAGCCCCACCCCGACCCCTCTCCCGTTTCCCGCCTTTGCTCCCTCGCCGCCCCCCGCCACGCGGGTGTTTCCTGCTCAGGGCACGTGCTGGCTTTCGGCGCCTGAATCGACGGCACAGTTGTGTCATATCATTTTTCCCTCACGTTTCCCTGGTCCTTCATGTCGCACCCGCCTCTCCCTGGAGTAGCCGCAGACTTTCCCTCACGTATACTCGGATGGTTTTATTTGCTCTTTACAAAGCCAGCGAGGGTAATTATGTCCAAGGCCGAATAGTATCGATGCTAGACTAGCTTTGCTACGTCCTCTGGTGTGACGAAATGACAGTGAGCTTCCAGCCGTGTCTGTGTTTCCTTCCGCGGGGCTGAGGGGACCAGGCCCCTCTGGAGCAGGCTCGGCCCCGGCAGGGAGATGCTTCGAAGGCTTCAGAGTTCTACCCGCCTCTGTCTGCCCTGGTCACGTAGCCGTCTTCTGCAGGCCCGGTCCCGGCAGGATACATTCCATAGCCAGAAACATTCGGACGGAAGCTTTTTAAACAACCGTGAAGATGCGTTTTATTGAGTTTCGTTTGACAGATTCCCAGACCACAGACACTTTGCACGAACACGCTCACAGACCTCGCCGCCACCTCCACCGAGTGAGGCCTTTTCAAGACACACTGATTGCTTCAGACACGGCATGGAGGTCCTTGTCCCTTTTCAAAACACACACGCGCACACACACGCCCCTCCAGAGGTGAGCCCGGCCGTCAGGAGTCCTGGTCCATCGATCTCCCTTCTCGGCCCGGTGCCCGAGACCCCAGACGGGGGTCCCCTGGGTTAGGGACTCGCTCCCCTTCCTTCAGACAGCAGGCCATCCTTCCTCGGTGGAGCATGTGCACGTGCGTCCCACCGGGCACAGCGGACAGGGCAGTGGCCTCCTGGGCCAGGCGGGGTCGATGTCCCTGAGCCCAGAGATGCCTTCCGCTCAGTCAGTAATCCTGTGTGACTGTCTCCTGTCAGAGGCAGACGGCGGGCTCAGTGGAAGGAGCACGGGCTCCGGAGTGGGGAGACGGGCTCCGGAGTGGGGAGACGGGCCGGCGTCAGCCCTGCGGGGTCCTCTTCTCCCTGCCTGTGTCCCTCGTCCTGACACGGCCTCTGCCTCCCACGGCCCAGGCGGTCAGCATCCGTCTGCGGCCAGCTCGGGGGCTGCTGGCCCCTGGGACTGTGGCCCGTGCAGCTGAGGAGTGGGGCTTTCCACCTTGTCCATGCACGCACACGTGAATGACCGCGTGTGGCCGGGGGGCCGCAGTGGGTGGCCGGCTCCAGCTCCTCCTTGCCGTCCCTTTGTCCTTTCTGGACCAGACCCCCCTGCTTCCTCACGCGCCCGCTCGGCCCTGGGCCTGTGGGCTTCTCTCCTGGCCCGGAGTGGTTCCTGCTCTTCCTTCAGGCCGGGCTTCGCCCAGCCTCCGCCCCTCGCCTGGGCTCTGCCCGCACCGACTCCCCTGCGGGGAACCCCCCAGTGGGGTAGGACTTTCCATCCACACGGCTCTGCGCCCCAACTCCTGAGCTCCTGGGAGGGAGGGCAGCTGCTCTGGGGGCTCCTGTAGCACGGAGTATGTGACCCGGCCGGAGCCCGGTGGGTCGGCCCTGCTCCCCGTCCAGGGTGGGATGAGGGATCTCAGGGCGCTCGTGAGCTCGAAATCACGTGACTGGAAGTGTTCCCACAAACTCCAAACCCTCTTTTTTTAAAAAAAAAAAAATTGACTTTTTCTCCTTAAACTGCCACTTAATCTTGTTTCTGCCAGACCGTGTGACAGATCAGTTGTCACTCCAATATTTCAGACCGATGTGCTCGGACAGAGCTTGCCAGCCGTGCGGTCCCCTGCGCTCTGCAGGCTGGGAGCTGTTAGTTGTCTTATTCTGAGGGACATAAAGTGACTGTATTAGACAATCCAAAGTGACAGTGGCTCACGGGGGAGATAATTTTCTCTTCTTCCGTGTAAAACTCCACATTGGTGGTCCAGAGTGGAACCGAGGTGTGCCGTGCTCTCCCCCAGATTTGTGTGTTGAAACCGTGCCCCCCAAGGCGATGCTGTCAGGAGCCCGGCCCTAGGGGAGGGACGAGGCCGTGGAGGGAGAGCCCCATGGGATTAGTGCCCTTAGAGAAGACACCCCAGAGAGGTCCCTTGGCCCACCTGCTACGTGAAGACACAGCCAGAAGGCCGTGACTGGGAAGAGGGCCCTCACCAGACCATGCTGGCACCATGACCTTGGACTTCACCTCCAGGGCAATTTCCTATTGTTTATAAGCTGCTCCGTGTATGGTGTCTCTTTATTGAAGCCACAGTGACTAAGATAAGGTACCGAACCGCAGGGGGCCTGCCGCGGCGGGCGGGGGGTGCCGCCTCTTCCTGCATCGGGGCCCTGCCAGGGCCAGGGAGGAAGGAGGAGGGGGACGGGGGAGGGGACGCGCCCTTTGCTCTTCGGGTCGGAAGCACGAGCTGTGCATACACCTGAGCGGTCTCTTCTTTTCCCTGTAATGAAACACGGGTGATACAGCGTCTGCCATTCGCACGGTTCGGTGGCGGAAGCACATTTGCGCCGCCATCACCGCCAGGACCTCCTTTCATCTTCCCAAACTGGAACGCTGGCCCCTTAAGCAATTCCGCCTCCTCCCTCCCCGGCCCCGGCCCCATCACGCTGCTTTCTGCCTCTAGAAGTATCAGAGAACTGGGCTCACACGGTGTTTGTGCCTCTGTGAGCGGCTTCCCTCACGTAGCACAGTGCCCTCCAGGTTCGCCTGCGTGGCAGCTGGCGTCAGAATGTCCTTCCATTTTCAGGCCGGACGATCCTCCAGGGTCTCATTCTGCTGTCCGCTCGCTCACCTGCTGTGGACGCTTCTGCTCCCGTCTGCTGGCCGCTGCGAGCCTGCGTGGAGGCTCCGTCCCTGCTTTCGATGGCTTCCCAGAAGTGGGCTGGCTGGATCGGAGGGTGGTTGGTTCCACATTTGGTTTTTACTCCGTCCTGTTTTCCATGGTGGTGGTGCCATTTTGCATTCCCAGCAACCACGGTCAAGGGCGCCAGCCTCCAGGTCCTCGCCACTCAGGGGCAGGAAGCAGGTAGCTTAGGGACGGGGAGGGCAGGCTAGCAGGCGACCGTGCCCCTGCCTCTTCCCCCAGGGCCTGGGAGACCCCAGGCTTCTCCAGAAACGGTGCCCCGGCAGATTCGTGGGCTCTGCTGGAAAACACGCCCTCTGTTTGCTCCGACTGCTGCTCTCGGAAAATGGTGCCGGGTTCTACAGTGTGGCCATGCTGACTGGCAGCTGGCATCTCGGACAGCACCGACCCTGTGCGTGGGTCCCAAGCATGGGGAAGGGGGAGGCACCCCACTGCCCCACCCCCTCCGCCCGGGAGGGCTCTGCAGTGACCCGGCTTTTGTCTGGAACGGATCCGGCGCCCACTTTCCCCTCGATGGCGTCTCTGTTCTGGTCATTGACGCCGTGCCCACTCCTGCTTGCCGAGGACGGCTCCAGCTTGGAAGTGGGGCGGACAGGACTACCGGACCCGGCCCCTTCTGCGGCCTGGGGACCAGGGCCTCCAGGCGGGGGGCTGGGCGGGTGCGGAGGGCCTGCCTCGGTGTCCCCGCTCCGTGCGGCCCAGGGAGCCAGAGCAGAAGGGGAATGCTGGGTGTGTTGACGCTCCAACCACCTGCAAATGGCTTCAGCGATTCAACGCTCACATGGCAGACTGGGGGCAGCGGAGGGAGAGGAACTGGACAGGAAAGGGGGCCGTGCGTGTGAGCGTGCGAGTGTGACCGAGCCGTGTGCATGTGTGTGTGTGCGCACGTGCGTGTGTGGGGTCGAGGGTGAAGTTGGAGCTGACTTCCGGCGCTTGGCAAAGCGAGAGATTCTGACATCAGATCCTGGCAGCTTTTTCAAACCTGATGGTTTGGGAGTTGAATTTAGAAATAGCTCGCGTGGGAGTGATAATACCGCACAAGTGTGTGTTTGTGTTCACGTGGCTAATTTTTGAGACTAACTATCGCTCTGTTGGCTGGAGCCCTGATAATGGCTGAACCCACTAATGTTCGATCAGGAAACCACTGGGTTGGAAAGAGACAAATTCAGTGTGGCCCGAATCTCAGTGTTTGTCACCGAGACAGTCCTGCCAAGATCCCCGCCTGCCGCCGTGGCGCCGTCTGTAATTATCGCGCGGGACTGGGCAGAGCCGAAGGCTTCTCCCTCCTGCTCCGTGTCTAAGCCACGTCTTCCATAATAACAGTTCGCAGGGAGAGGGGGTCGCAGACCCTCACGAGCCGAATCTCCCAGCGAGAGTCAGAAAGTGTCCCCGGGGTGACGAGGCTGAGCGTGTCCCGTGCCCGCACACTCCCACTTCTTGGGCACACGCGGTGGCGTGCGTGCGCCGACCCGTAGTCGACCATGTGCCCGGACGAGGTCAGTCTGTGAATTTTACGACCTTGAGAAAAGTAATGAAAGCTTATTTGGAAACTGGACTCATTTAACTGGGGAGTGACTTTACTTGAAAGAGTTCCTTACTGGTCATCAATATTTTCTTTTAAGTTGCCATTATGATTCACATTTTGGGAATGACGAATCTTTGGTTATAAACTTTTCTAGCAGGCGGACACGAGATTGCCCTTCACAAGGACTTGCCTTATTTCAGAATGATCTGCGACAGTGGTATTTTCCAGCCGGCAGAGCCGCTGCCTGCCCTGCTCTGGGGCCACGGGCCCTCTTGGCCCTCTGAGCTTGGCGGCACTATTATCACCGGAATTGTGACTCCTTAGAAAAAGGGAAATGGTCGTCTGACTCGACTTCAGCAGTGGAACGCCTTGGAGTAGAATTCGAGGAAATTCCTTCGCTTATTTATTCTCCTGCCAATAGTGCAGGTGGGGAGGCCAAGACGGGTCTCGGGGGACACCGTCCTCCATGGCTCAGTGCAGTAGCCCAGAGGGCGGACGGAGGTGAGTGCGATGGACACGCAGGCCCCGGAAGCTCGGGGTGTGGGGACAGGGCTGGCGGGGGGTCCCGCAGGGAGAGCGGCCACAGCCCTCCGTGAGGACACGTGCCCAGCGCCCACGACAGCTGGTGCTGGGTGCCTGCCCGGCGTGTCCGGGGTGCCTGCGTGCCAGCGGAAGCCTCACGGCCATCCAGGACAGGATGCTGTCACTTCTCCCGTTTAATGAGGACCCGAGACATGGAGGGCGAGTCCGTGTGACCACGGTCAGCTAGGTGACCGGTGAACCCCGGTCTGAACCCTGCAGTCACACGGCCCAGCTCAGCCCCTCACCCGCTGCGTGCTCCTCAGATATTTGCAGATAGGTCACTGGGGCCTGAAGCAGGTTCTGGCCTGATTCTGCGGGGAGCAGGGGGCTTCTAGGCGATGTGAGCAGCAGGAGCGGTCAGGCACTCGAGCCAGTGCAGGCATCGTGGGAGAAGTGACCCTGGGTCTTCTGAGGGCTGGCCCCCTGGCTTGTCGCTTTTGCAGTGCTTCGCATGAGAAGGTGATTAGCCACCGTATCCGGGAGTCAGCGGGCCTCAGCCAGCGTCCCGTGGCACACAGGCGGTGGCACCAGGATACGTGCCCAGGCCTGCCGAGCGCACGCTGCTCCGTCCCACTAACCACGGGTCGTGCTCAGTGTGAAGTGTCAGGGGACCCTGGCCAGGGCAGGTGGCCCTCCGTGAGTCCGAGATCGAGGGGAAGTCTTCGCGGGTGATAATGAAGAAGGAAGCGAGACCAGGGCCCGGGTTTGGGGTCTGAGAGGCAGGGCCCGTGTCCGCGGTGTCCTGGGGCCCAGTGCTGCCCAGAGTGCGGCCTGAGCACCTGTCCGCAGTGAGCTAGGTGTGCAGCTGACACTGGGCGTCTAGAGCTTTGTAGCAGTTTGATGTCACTGCGACACCCATGTGCCTGGGCAGAGAAGTGGCCTGTGAACGGGACACAGCGGCTTTGGTCTCATGGCACTGCTGAGGGAGCATCTGTGGGCTGAGTGCTCGCCATACCTTATGTCGCTCCCCCCGCAGTGGATAGACCTGTCTCCAGGTGCCACTGTCACCGTTTTGGGGACACTGAATCCTGCCGAGCTTAGCCAACTTGCTCAAGAGGCAGTGCGCGGGCCCCTCCCTGGCACGGTTTCGGCCGACGGCACGTTCTGTCATCCTCTGGGCAGGACGCCAGGCCCCTGCCGTCCACGCTTCCGTCACAGCTCTGTCAGGAGGGGCCAGGCCCACGGCGCCCGTCCACCTGGCTCTCAGACGTCCCAGGCCTGGAACCTCCCGGGGCCATGCACTGGGGGACTTTAATCCTGCTGCCACTTGGGAACTGTGACCGTAGGAAGAAAGAGAGGCAGGCAGGGACGATGACAGAGTCTGGATCCGCGGTCTCACTGCAGGGACGATGACAGAGTCTGGATCCGCGGTCTCACTGCAGGGACGATGACAGAGTCTGGATCCGCGGTCTCACTGCAGGGACGATGACAGAGTCTGGATCCGCGGTCTCACTGCTGTGCCTTCTTTTCGGCTCCACGGCCATGTCACAGCTGCGGTTTGGCAGGACTTCCTTCTTTCTGAACAGCCAGCTTTGTGCTGCCCGGTGGCCGAACAGCAAGACAGGGCTGAGGGCCATGGCTGTCGCCTTGCTGAACCCCTCAGTGTCTCTGGAAGGCCCAGTGCCCTGGAGGGGTGTGTGTCTGTGTGTGAGCGTGTGCCTGTATGTGTGCATGTGCTTGTGTTGTCGCGTGTGTGCCTATGAGTGCTTGTGTGTATGTATGTGCCCTTGTGCGTGCCCATGGGTGTGCGTGTGTATGTGCGTGTGCCTTTGTGCATGTGGTCATGGGTGTGCATGCCCATGGGTGTGTGTATGTGCACATGCATGAATGTGTGCGTATATGCCCACGTGTGCTTGTGTTCTCACGTGTGTGCATGTGTGGGGCCATGTGTGCCTGTGTGTATGTGTGCACGTGCATGCGTGTGCATGCATCCGTGAGTGCGTGCATGTGTGTGCACTCATAGATGTGCCTCTGCCCATGGGTGTGCGTGAGTGTATTCGTGTGTGTGACCTCGTGCATGCGGCCATGGGCGTGCATTCCCGTGTGCGTGTGCGTGCACATGCATGTGTGTGCACTCATAGATGTGCCTCTGTGTGCCCATGGGTGTGCGTGAGTGTATTTGTGTGTGTGACCTCGTGCATGCGTCCATGGGCGTGCATTCCCGTGTGCGTGTGCGTGCACGTGTGTGTGCACCGTGCGGGCAGGCTCTGCTCCTCCCTGGCCGGAGCACTCTGCCTTACCCGTCTGGCCTCCGAGCCGGGCGGAGGTGCCAGCTGCCCACCATCAGCATCTGCCCCTCGGCTTCC